CTGTAATCCCAGCTACTCAGGAGGCTGAGGCAGGAGAATCACTTGAACCCGGGAGGCAGAGGTTGCAGTGAGCCGAGAGTGCGCCATTGCACTCCAGCCTGGGCAACAGAGCGAGACTCGTGTCTCAAAAAAAAAAAAAAAAAAAAAAGAATGCTCACAAAGCACAAAGAACCCTGCTTGTTTCTGTGTCTCTGCCTTTGTTCACACTACTTATCCAAATACTATTCATGGCTCAGGTTAATCATCAGTAGGCATTCTAGAAGGCTCTTTACCCATATCTCATCCAAAGGAATAATATTACAATGAAAGCATTGTAGGTACTTTTTTTTTTTAAGGACATCTTTATTGAGCTATAACTCTCATATGTAGGTGCTTTTGGCTGTAGTAGCAGAGGAAGTGGTCTTGACAAAGAATTTGCAATGGAAAAAAATACACTGTCATGTCCTGCTTCTGTCATGGATGGGCCACAAAGACCATGTGGTCCCACAATATTACAATACCATATTTTCACTGTACCTTTTCTATGTTTAAAATACTCACCATTGTGTTCCAACTGCCAACAGGATTCAGTAAGTCCCACACTGTGCAGGTGTGTAGCCTAAGAGCAATAGCCGATGCCATAGAGCCTCAACGTGGTATAGGCCCCACCATCTACGTTTGTGTGAGTAAATTCTATGATGCTTACACAACAACAAATTTGCCTAACAAGGCCTTTCTCAGCGACACATGACTGTATGTCTAAAGCAGTTTTTTCATAAAAAGTAGAGGTCAGTAAGAGGGTTAGGAAATTCTAGTTACTTGTAGGAGACATTAAAATATATACTGCTTTTGGGCTGAGCACAGTGGCTCACACCTGTAATCCCAGCACTTTGGGAGGCCGAGGTGGGAAGATCATGAGGTCTGGAGTTCAAGACCAGCCTGGCCAACATGGTGAAACCCCGTCTCTACTAAAAGTACAAAAATTAGCCGGGCATGGTGGTAAGCACCTGTAGTCCCAGCTATTCAGGAAGCTGAGGCAGAAGAATCACTTGAACCTGGGAGGCAGAGGTTATAGTGAGCTGAGATCGGGATACACACACAAGAGTTTTTCTAGCCCCCAACTCTATAATATTGCTCAGATTTTAAACAGAAGTGAAGTCATAGTCTGCAGTGAGGGAAAGGAAAGGAAGGCATGTACGGTTGAGGTGGGGTCCACAGCCGACTGGGACCGAAAAGCCGCTGGGCCTCTTTCATCGGTACTGCAGAGAGGCTTGGAAGAGTTGTCTAGCGTGCACCCACTCCAGGGCAGTTGTGCTGCGGCTGCCACATCACCAGCACTTAATGGAACACAGGTTTCTGTGTGGATGGGCACAGCATGCCCAGTGAGGTGATGCAAAGCAAGTGAGTGACACAGGCACGCTTTGAGCAGCCTTTCCTTGGTGACCAACACGTTTCGCCGCCTGATCATGCCTTGGATTATGATGGTGGCCTCTGGTGGCACCTGGCTTGAGTCATAGACAGCAATTTCTGGCACAGAGGCACACAAGGGTCCTTGAATGTCTAAATGGTCCTGTTCTTCCAGACCCGTGAAACAAACACAGACGTGCCAGTGACACATGGAGAGAAAAGCATGTTTTAAGAAGTGTTGGGCCAGGCACAGTGGCTCAGGCCTGTAACGCCAGCACTTTGGGAGGTCGAGGCAGGCAGATCACCTGAGGTCAGGAGTTTGAGACCATCCTGACCAACGTGGTGAAACCCCATTTCTACTAAAAATGCAAAAACTTAGTTGGGCATAGTGGTGGGCTCCTATAATCCCAGCTACTCAGGAGGCTGAGGCAAGAGAATCGCTTGGACCCGGGAGGCGGAGGTTACAGTAAACCAAGATCACACTACTGCACTCCAGCCTGGGCAACGAGAGCGAAACTCCATCTCAAAAAAAAAAAAAAAGAAAAGAAGTGCTGTTGCTTTCTTTCAAAGTGTGGTGTTTATGCTGATTGTTGGGTATTTTCTGTTTATATTGGCCGTAAGCTGATTAGGAGCCTGCTTCCTTGATTGTTTTAGAAGAGAGTTTTGGTGGGGGCAGGGGCCGTAAGGGCAGAAGAATGGGCGACTGGCAGGCACTGTGGAAGAGGGTGTAGAATTGCCTCTTCTCTTCTGGAGGCAGTAGTATCTTTGTTTGCTTTGGTTTGGTTTGGTATGTCTTGTTTTCCTGGGAAGACAAAGGAAGAAGAAAATGACAGCTTTGCAGGTAAAGAAATGGAGAGGCTTCTCTCCCCCTGTACTAAGAGTAGGCTGAAGACCCATGTCCAGAAGGCTGACAGAAAGTTGGCTGGATAAAGAGCCACTGAGCTTGATGCTCAGGAATGTGAGGGGATGGCTCCACGCCGGAGAAGTGGGATACCACATTGGTCCCAGGAGCCAAGAGGACCGGGACAGGGAGACATTAAAGTGACACAGACTGCACCTTTATGGGCAGATGCCTATTCCGTGGACAGGCCACATATCTGTTGTCCATGGAGCAGTGTCCGTTAATACCGTTTTCCATTAAAAAATAAAAAGATTCAGCATCTACTTCCGAAAATAAAAAAATAAAAATCCCATCGTAGCCACACTTCTCCCACGCAGTCAGTCCTAAGTTAATTGCTCCCTCCTGCAACCTCCCAGAGTATGAGTCTGCATCTCACACAGTTAGTGCTTCATTTTCTTGTTTAATTTTTTTCTTCTTTATTGAGGTAAAATTCATATATAACAAAATTAGCCATTTGAAAGCGGACCATTTGGTGGCATGTAGTCTAGTCACAGTGTTGTGCAACCGCCACCTCTACCTCGTTCCAAAACGTGTATCACCCCAAAAGGAAAACCCATATCCATAAAGCATCACTGCCTGTATATACCCCCTTGCCTCAGCCCCTGGCAGCTGCAAATCTGCTTTCTCTTTCCCTATTTTTAGATTTACCTATTCAACTATTCTGGATATTTCATATAAACAGGCTTATACAGTGTGTAACGTTTTATGTCTGGCTTCTTTCACTTAGCATCATGTTTCAAGGTTCATTTGTGTTGTAGAATGTATCAATATTTCATTCCTTTTCATGGCTGAATAATATTTCACTGTATGGATATACCACCATTTGTTTATCCTCATCCATTGATAGACATTTGGGTTATCTCCACCCTTTGGCTGTTGTAAATAGTCCTGCTATGAACATTCATGTAAAAGTATTTAAACACCTGTTTTCAGTTATTTTCGGTATATATTTAGGAGTGGAATTGTTCGGTCATGTGGAAATTCCACGTTTAACTTTTTGAGGGACTGCCAGAGTGTTTTCAACAGCTGCTGCACCATTTGACGTTCCCACTGGCAATGTATAAGGTTTAGATTTCCATTCTTCCTCTTTTTTTTCTTTTGTATACTTTATATTCTTTCCATTATGAAGTTTACATTTCTTTACATCCTGATTGGCACATGTTAATTTGTTTTTGTTTCTTAAATACCCATCCTAGTGGGAGTGAAGTGGTATTTCATTGTGGTTTTGATTTGTATTTCTCTAATGACAAATACCATTGAACACCTTTTCATGTGCTTGCTGGCCATTTTTATATTTTCTTGGGAGCAACGTCTATTCATGTTCTTTGCCCATTTTTTAATTGGGTTGTTTGCGTTTTTGTTGTTGAGTTGGAAGAGTTCTTTACATATTCTGGATGCTAGGTGATATCAGATGATACATGTGTCATTGGATAAATGATGTACAGATATTCTTGTGTTAGCCCGTTGCATCACTATACAGAAATACCCAAGGTTAGGTACTTTATAAAGAAAAGAGGTGTAGGCCGGGCGCAATGGTTCATGCCTATAATTCCAGCACTTTGGGAAGCCGAGTCGGGTAGATCACCTGAGGCCAGGAGTTTGAGACCAGCCTGGCCAACATGGTGAAACCTTGTCTCGACTAAAAATAGAAAAAAATCATTCATAATCGCCTTCTTTGAAAAGAAAAAAAATTAGCCAGGCATAGTAGCTCACACCTGTAATTCCAGCTACTTGGGAGGCTGAGGCAGGAGAATCGCTTGAACCTAGGAGGCAGAGGCTGCAGTGAGCCGAGATCATGCCACTGCACTGCATCCTGGATGACAGAGCGAGACTCCACCTCAAAAATAAAAATAAAAATTAACCAGGTATGGTGGCATGCACCTGTAATCCCAGCTACTTGGGTGGCTAAGGTGAGAGGATCGCTTAAGCCTAGGAGTTTGAGGCTGCGGTGAGCCATGATGGCACTGCCGCCCTCCAGCCTGAGTGACAGAATGAAATTCTGTCTCAAAATATTTATTTATGCCGGGCGTGGTGGCTCAAGCCTGTAATCCCAGCACTTTGGGAGGCCGAGGCGGGTGGATCACGAGGTCAAGAGATCGAGACCATCCTGGTCAGCATGGTGAAACCCCGCCTCTACTAAAAATACAAAAAATCAGCTGGGCATGGTGGCGCATGCCTGTAATCCCAGCTACTCAGGAGGCTGAGGCAGGAGAATTGCCTGAACCCAGGAGGCGGAGGTTGCGGTGAGCCGAGATCGCGCCATTGCACTCCAGCCTGGGTAACAAGAGCGAAACTCCGTCTCAAAAAAAAAAAAAAAAAAAAAAAAAAAAAAAAAAAAAAAAAAAAAAAAAAAAATATATATATATATATATATTTATTTATTTGTTTGTTTGTTTATTTATAGTAAAACATATATGACAAAAACACTGTCCGCTTGTTTGGTGATGGTGATGCAAATACAAATGTATGTCATCACTAAGCAAGTGGCCAGTGTTTGTGCCATATATGTTTTACTATAAATACAAAATACAACATACTTTGCTATTTGGCATGGCAGTGATTTTTATGAATTAGACACCTGTGAGGTAGATGTTACTCTGCACATTTTATACTCAAAGAACCTGGGCTTGGGAGAGTTCAGATTTGCCTAAAACCACACAGCTGTTAGCTAGTAGACCCAGAATTGAAGTTTAGGTTTGTCTGGGTCCATGGTGAGTGCCTGTCCTCCACTCCATGTCTTCCCTTCCTGGGGACATAAATTGTGTCTGCTCCCAGGCCTATTCATTGGTTCATTGGGGTGGTCTAATGTCCATGGAGCGCCTGACATGTGCTAGTGCTGAACTAAATGAGCTTGAAGGAGGCGTGAAAGGGAACAGGAGAAAGCTCCTCTAGATATGAACAATATTGCATTGTTTTTACCATGCTTACAAACTTTGTGGAAGAGAGCTGAATTTTTCACCTCCTCTTTCTTATAGTCTGCTAGGGCACAGTGCCCCACAACGACTGAAATAGACTAGATTTCCTTCTCTTTTTAATGTTTAAACTTTAACAGAAATGCATGCTAGGTGTAAAAATTCAAAAAAAATCCCATCTGCCTCAATCTTGCAGCCCTCCCCAGAGGGAGTGACCTCGTCCTGTTTGGCACAAATTATTCCAGTCTTTATGCATTTGTAAGCATAAAAAGTGCACACTTTTACATGGCTATAAATGCATAAAGACTGGGATATATATAAGAATATATAATTTTAGGGCTTCTTTAGAGGGGAAAAATCCACAAATGGATCATACTTTGGATATTTTCTGCAGCTTGCTTTTTTCCACCTCAAATACATTTACGTCTCACGTTGCCCTTCCTCCTTCGCAGAGATCCTACAGTAAGGAATTGTTTGAAGAAGTTATTTCAAAGATGCGGAAGGCAGGGATCAAATCTACAATAGCGATAGAAAAATTTAAGCTGCTGGCCGAGAAGGTGGAGGAGATAGTGGCCAAGAACGCACGCGCAGAAATCGACTACAGCGACGCTCCTGACGAGTTCAGAGGCAAGTGGACTTGTCTCTTTCATGCTGATTTCTTTTGAGTTAACTGGAAATCGATAACATTACAAGAGGGCGCCCTGTGCTATTAATTTTTTAATGGTGTGCTAGAGCTGCTTTTTGAGACCATCTGTTTAAAATTACATTTGCCTATTTTTAGCTCATATTGTAAATTGAGAGGAAGAAACATCCTTAGCCTGTGTTAAAACCAGATAACAGCCCTGAAGATAGTAAGGGCAGGGCTGTCTTTGCAAGTGAGGATTCACATTTTCAAAGAATTCCAAGAAATCCTAAGACAAAGGATTCTAGCCTGCGTCCTCACCACAGAGCCTGTGAGGCCTGCTGCTGGGTCTGTCCCAGGGTCTTTCTTCTCTGTTCCCTCTCCCCAGCAGTAGCTGACAAAGGAGTGCCTTCCCCTCTACAAAAGGCAATGCATATCCCTTTATTGAAGGCTGATTTCCTTCTAAACCTGGGGGCCTCACAGGGGCCCTTTGGTTGCTGTTCCTTTGGATGGATTTTTCACTAATAGAAGGGGCTTTGTTTTGTTTTCTTTTTCGGCTCTGGGCTCTCTTATTAGCTAAGAGTTTGCTTTGCTTTGTCCCTGCAGACCCTCTGATGGACACCCTCATGACTGACCCCGTGCGACTGCCCTCCGGCACCATCATGGACCGCGCCATCATCCTGCGGCACCTGCTCAACTCCCCCACGGACCCCTTCAACCGGCAGACGCTGACAGAGAGCATGCTGGAACCAGGTAGAGGAGGTGCAGTGCTGGCATCAGTGCCAGGAGACGGAACCCAAGCTGCATCACAGAGATGAAGCAGAAGGGAAATTTATTAAATCCAGAAACTACCTGGTTTATGACACTCTGTAGAAAAGACCCAAAACACTCTTGGCCCTTTTTCCCTGCAGTCCTTCCCTCTCATGCCGCATTCCTCTGCCGTCTTCGGCTCAGTGAAGGAATGAATGGCCTTTTCTTCCCATTTATACAGAGCGACAAGCATCCTCTCTCAGGAAGAGCCCTCCCATCTGGGGCATTAATCCTCCTTTTTTTTCTTTTCTCAGTGCCAGAACTGAAAGAGCAGATTCAGGCGTGGATGAGAGAGAAACAGAACAGCGATCACTAAACCGTCCCCACCGCCCACCCTCTGCTAGACACAGCCAAGGCCAACGAGGCGGGCAGAAGCGGCGGCCGCGGCGAAGCTGCAGTTCACGTGTTGGAGGCCACGTGTGGCAAACCACCCCAGGCCCACCCAGAGCCAGCAAACACTGAGACCTGAAAGCACATGGATGAGAAGAGGAGCCCGATTCCTGTACATATATTTAAGTGACAAACACGGTCAAAAGCTTAAGGGACAAGTTTCATGGTTACGTGTGTAATAAAGCACGTCCTTCTTACGTCACAGTTTGGGGCAACGGAAATCTTTTAGTGATGGCTAATGGGTCTGGGCAGCATCCCTTCATGAATTCTTTTTTAATCCAATATCCGTTGATTTGATTGTGATTAGAGAACCTTGGACATTTTGCTGCTAAAGAATCTTTTCTCCCCTCTTCCCCCCTCCTGACCCTACTTGCACTGCTGTGGATTTTTTTAAGAGAAGCAAAAACAAAAATAAACTCCTTTCCCTGGCCCTCCAAACATATATCCTGTGAGGTAACTGTGCCTGCTACCAAGTGTTAATCCTGGGATCGTATTTTTATATCATATTCACATATTTGTTTTTTTAATTGGTGTTAGATGACATGATTAATAAAAAAGGCAAGATATTTTCAGAATTTGAATTTCAGTTTTTTTTTCTTTTGAAACGTCCCTTTAAGATTTTTTTATTCTAAACAAAATAAAATCTTGCTGCTCTGGTCCTTATAATAAGCCCTCTCTTAGGAATCTGAGGAGCAGTTGCAGCAAAATCTAAGGGGTGTAAGTGTATCAGGATTTACGTGACATACGGTATTCTGGGGAGATAAGGGTTGGGTTTTTTTTTTAATGCTATATGACAGTTCGAAACCTTTACAGTTATCCTCTGGAGGTAATTGAATTCCTCAACCCTTGGGTGTGTGAGTTTGAGGCAGGGTCATTTGTATGATGTGTTTGGCCTTACCAAAGCAAAAGAGGGTGCAGGGATGTGGGAGTATGTCTGCCAGTTTAAACACACACAGACAAACACAGCCACACGCGCACACAAGTATGAGACTTTTTGTATTACTGCTCCCTACTTAACATACTTGAATTCTTGAATTTCCTTTGGGGTTAAAAAGGATTTGAAACCATAAAGTGTTTTGAAGAAATTAAGTCTCTAAAAAAACATACTTTCTTTTTTCTTTTCCTTTTTTCCCTCCTCCACAGACAATGTCCTCTGTTCAATTCCTAACGCAAACTACAATAAATGGTGATACACATTCAGAAGAAATCTTCTTTGAGTCTATTCTTTTTTGTGGGAGAAAAAAAAAAAAAGAGAGACAGAGTGGGTGGGTAAACAAGAGCCAAATGAGTTTGCATGTGGTGAATTATCTTGCCTGGTTCCAATTAGGAGTTGCTATTTTTAAAAGAAAACTTTCTCCTTCGGGTCCATCTCAATGCTACATTCGGTTCTCATTTCACTGTTTGCTGATTTGAGGGGTAAGCTTGGTCATACTCAGTCTTCCGCCTTTCTTGAGTTTCTCTGCCTTATCTCAAGTATCTTCTCAGACCTTTAGGATTCTTCCTCAAATCCAACTCATTTTATTGGCATTTTTCTTAGGCTGTCCAGTTTAGGCAGCCATTTCTATCAGCTCGTGTAAGAACAGCAAATAGCAATAATAACAGCAAGCACTGAGACAGCATTGCCTGCACACCAGGTGCTTCGAGGCACTGACATTTAGGGTTTCATCCTCTAGGAAGACAATACTGTTATTCTAGGGTTGTTTTATTATTTTTATTTATTTATTTTTATTTAAGATGGGGTTTCACCATGTTGATCAGGCTGGTCTTGAACTCCCGACCTCAGGTGATCCGCCCGCCTTGGCCTCCAAAGTGCTTGGATTACAGGCATGAGCCACCGCGCCCGGCCTTGTTTTTTTATTTTTATTTATTTATTTATTTTTAGAAGAGTGTGATGTTTTGAGTGTCAATTACATTTTTTTTTTTGAGACGGGGTCTCTCACTGTCACCCAGGCTGGAGTGCAGTGGCGCAATCTCGGCTCACTGCAGTCTCCGTCTCCTGGGTTCAAGCAATTCTGCCTCAGCCTCCTGAGTAGCTAGGACTACAGGTATGCGCAACCACGCCCAGCTAATTTTTTGTGTATTTTTTTAATACACAAAAGTTCAGATAGGGTTTCACCATGTTGGCCAGGATGGTCTCAATCTCCTGACCTGGCGATCCGCCCGCCTCGGCCTCCCAAAGTGCTGGGATTACAGGCATGAGCCACCGTGCCCGGCCCCCTTTTTTTTTTAAAATGAATGTGAGCTCTCTCTGTTGCCCAGCCTGGCCTCAAACGCATAACCTTGCCTCCTGAATCTCCAGAACAACTGAACTGAGTCACTGCAGCTCTATTCTAGGTTGGTTTTGTTTCTTTTTTGAGGCGGCGTCTCACTGTTTCGCCCAGGCTGGAGTGTAGTGACTTGGTCTTTGGCTCACTGCAACCTCCGCCTCCTGGGTTCAAGCACTTCTCCTGCCTCAGCCTCCCGAGTAGCTGGGATTACAGGCACCTGCCACCATGCCCGACTAATTTTGCATTTTTAGTAGAGTCAGGGTTTCACCATGTTGGCCAAGCTGGTCTCAAACTCCTGACCTCATGATCCACCCACCTTCACCTCCCAAAGTGCTGGGATTACAGGCATGAGCCACTACACCTTGCCTTCTTTTTTGAAAAAATAGAGACAGGGTCTCACTATGTTGCCCAGGCTGGTCCTGAACTCCTGGGCTCAGGTGCTCCTCCTGCCTCATCCTCCCAAAATGCTGGGATTACAGGCATGAGCCACCACTCCCTGCCTATCTCAGTTTTTTAAGAATAGATCAGTGCATGGGATGTAGAGAGGGTAGATAACTTACCCAGCGTCACCTGGCTGCTTGGCTAAGAACCAGGTGTCCAGGCTTCAGAGCCCATGCCCTCAGTCTCTATGTTTGCTTCTCTTGAGCACATTTGAACTAAACAACTTGGCCAGGTGTGGTGGCGCATGCCTGTAATCCCAGCACTTTGTGAGGCCAAGGTGGAAAGAATCAGTTGAACCCAGGAAATCAAGACCAGCCTGGGCAACATAGTGAGACCCTGGCTCTTTTTTAAAAAAAAACACATATATTTAAAAATGAAGGCCAGGCACAGTGGCCTGTAATCCTAGCGCTTTGGGAGGATGAGGCATGTAGATACCTGAGGTCCCCCTTGCCAACATGGTGAAACCTCATGTCTACTAAAAAATACAAAAATTAGCCCAGCGTGGAGTTGGGCGCCTATATAATTCCAGCTACCTTGGGAGGCTGAGGCAGGAGAATTGCTTGAACCCGGGAGGCAGAGGTTGCAGTGAGCTGAGATTGTGCCACTGCACTCCAGCCTGGGCAACAGAGTGAAATTCCATCCCACCTCCCCCCCCCAAAAAAAAAAAAAAAAAAAAAAAAAAAAAAAAAAAAAAAAAAAAATATATATATATATATATATATATATATGAAATGAAAAACTAAGGAAAAAGTTCATGATAGCAAAAATTTTAGACAATATAAGCAAAAAGAAGAAAATATTCACATTCTCACCATGCAGATAATTCTGTTTAATTGGGTTTATTTTTTTTTCTTTTTTCTTTTTTTTTTTAATATATATTTTTTATAAAGATAGGGTTTCACCATGTTGGTCAGGCTGGTCTTGAACTCCCGACCTCAGGTGATCCGCCCGCCTTGGCCTCCAAAATGCTTGGATTACAGGCATGAGCCACCACACCCAGCCCTTTTTTCTTTCTTTTTTTTTTTTTATGAGACAGTCTTGCTTTGTTGCCCAGGCTGGAGTGCAGTGGCACGATCTCGACTCACTGCAACCTCTGCCTCCCAGGTTCAAGTGATTCTCCTGCCTTGGCCTCCCAAGTAGCTGGGACTACAGGTGCACGCCACCATGCCCAGCTAATTTTTGTATTTTTAGTAGAGACGGGGTTTCACCGTGTTGGCCAGGATGGTCTCGATCTCTTGACCTCGTGATCTGCCCACCTTGGCCTCCCAAAGTGCTGGGATTGCAGACATAAGCCACCACTCCTGGCCTTAATTGGGTTTACTTTTTACTAAACTTACATATCTAAGTTTAGTGCCTATAGAATTATGATCCTACTAGCCTCTTGCCTGATATTGTTTGTGTTTATCTCACCAGTGTGGACTGCTTGTCTCCTCTCCTTCCAGATTCCAAACTCTGACTTTAATCCCCCAGTTGTCCCCCCTGAATGTAATAACATGCTGCTTTATACCACCATATGCACTTGTCATTCTGAATAATTCAGAGGTTTCAAGGACCTGCCGGGTAGGACAGAGATGCAGCCAGTCTCCTGCCTGTACTATCTCTAGGGGGAAGGAAGATGGTTTGGGTTTCTATTTTTACAGTCTCAAGAGTTGCTGTTTTGTGTTTGTCTGCAGTCTGTTGATTGTGGATATTGAAATAAATCCCAAAATATATTAAAAGTAGGTCTTGACTAAAGGGAAGATTGTCAAGTAAGAGAATCAGATCGGCAGAAGAGAAATGATCCTTGAGAGAAAGATGATTAAAATAACTTCTGCCCTGTGTTGTGGCTCAGCGTGGTGTAGGTTTTAAAAAGATGTTGATCAATTATCTTTGGAAAAAAAAAAAACTGAGCACATCGTTCACTTTTTGTAACCTCTGGGTTTGGTACATCGAGTAGTGAATTTCACAGCATTTTGTTTGGGGTGAAAGTGACATGAATAGGCCTCATTTGACTACGTACTTTTTTTTGCTTGGTTGGTTGGTTTTTTTCAGAGTCTCGCTCTGTCACCCAGGCTGGAGTGCAGTGGTGTGATTTTGGCTCACTGCAACCTCTTCCTCCCAGGTTCAAGCGATTCTCGTGCCTTAGCCTCCTGAGTAGCTGGGATTGCAGGCATGCACCACCACCTCCGGTCTTTTTGGTTTTTTTTCTGTAAGTAAAGACGGAGTTTCACCATGTTGGCCAGGGTGGTCTAAGGTCAGACTCCTGACCTCAAGCGATCCGCCTACCTCGGCCTCCCAAAGTGCTGGGATTACAGGCATGAGCCACCATGCCCAGCCTCAAGGTACATTTTTGATTGAAGGAGACGTAGTAGCCTATTAGCTTGATGCTGGTATCAGCTAGTGTTGATGAAGAAAGTCATTCTGAGTTGGTCATGATAATCTGCATTTGTGAGCCTATTCTATGTGCAAGCCACTCTTACATGTATTAATTAATCCTCCTCAACCACCATAGTGGAGCTGGCACATGAATCTAGGCCATTTGGCCTTTCCAGCTTCATCTCTTCCCCAGAATCTACAAGTTCAGAATAACTCAGAATGCCCAAGGAGAGGTGGAGAAGCAGCATAGCATTCTGGAAGGGACTTTGGCCTTGAGGTCAGCTCTAGACCTAACCCTCATTTTAAATGATTAGATAACTTCAGTCTCATGCTTTCATTCATTACTAGCCACTCATGTTGATCCCAAATGTGTATCTCGAGCCCCACTTCTTTCCAGTACTGCACACCCTGGGCATCTCGGATGACTAAAAGGCCCTCAGGGCTGGGCACGGTGGCTCATGCCTGTAATCCCAGCACTTTAGGAGGCCAAGGTGGGCAGATCACGAGGTCAAGAGATTGAGACCATCCTCGCCAACATGGTGAAACCCCATAACTACTAAAAGTACAAATATTAGCCGGGCATGGTGTTTCGCACCTGTAGTCCCAGCTACTCGGGAGGCTGAGGCAGGAGAATCGCTTGAACCCAGGAGGTGGAGGTTGTAGTGAGCCGAGATTACACCACTGCACTCCAGCCTGGCAACCAAGCGAAACTCCATTAAAAAAAAAAAAAAAAAAAGGGCTCTCAGATTTAATATAACCCAACCTGAACTCCACACACATCCCCCCGGGCCCGTGCCTCTTAGTCTCCTCATCACAGTAAATGACAACTCCGTCCTTCCAAGTCACTCAGGCCACAAACCTTCGAGTCATCCTTCACTCCACTGTTGTGCTCTCCTCCTTTGTCCAATCTGTCCACAAATCTCTCTGCTCAGCCGGGCACAGTGGCTCACACCTGTAATCCCAGCACTTTGGGAGGCCGAGGTGGGCGGATCACCTGAGGTCAGGAGTTCAAGACCAGCCTGGCTAACATGGTGAAACCCTGTCTCTACAAAAAATACAAAAATTAGCCAGGCATGATGGTGGGTGCCTGTAATCTCAGCTACGTGGGAGGCTGAGCCAGGAGAATCTCTTGAACCCGGGAGGC